CTTTCTTACATCTGTACTTGGGGCAGGTATGGGGGCCTGGATTAATGCATATGTAAACTGAGGAACACCAAGGGGTTTTAGCAACCACCAGAAGCTGTAAGAAGCAAGCAAGCAAGGAGCCTCCCTAGAGCCTTCAGAGAGAGAGAGAGAGAGAGCAAGGCCCAGCAGGCACCTTGATTTCAGACTTCGAGGCTCCAGAACTAGGAGAAAAATTCCTGAGGTTTTAAGGTACCCAGTTTGAGGCACTTTGTTATAACAGCCTTATGAGCAATCCTAATAGAAAGAGACAGAGAGAGATGAAGCATGCTAATGGGCCCAGAGCGGGCAGCTGTGAGATTATTTAATCTGGTATATTTGCTAAATAAGTATTTATGGAAAGTTCATTCTGTGCCTAGTTTTATCAAGAGGAACCAAGAAAGTTCCCACTCTTCTTAGCCTTTGTCACACCTTCCCTGCGATGTGGGCATTTCTGCCAGTTCCCTCCAGATTTCCAGATTTGGTGGTGTGTGTGACAGTGTGTCTCTGTGCGGAGAGGGGACTCTTGGGCAGGAGGCCCTGGCTTATTATCTCTGCAGCTACAGGGGTTGAGCCAACAACTCTGGCTCCTGCCGGAGTCAGCTCCTGCTGTCTGCCTTCCAGCTGTGTGCCTGCTCTTTTCACTCTGATCCCCCCTCCTGTTTGGCCCTCTGTCCCCCTCCTTGCTGGGTCACTGCCCCCTGGCATCTGTACTCTGAAGCCAGCAGCCCTGCTGGGCCATTCACAGGCATAGTTTAATGGAGGTGGAGGGCAGATATTAGGTTCTTCCCTCCTGCTCCCCACAAAACCTCACAGACAAATACACTCAATGTGTATTAGGGCCCTGGGAAGGGGTCCAGGCAGGGAGGCTGATGGAAAGGTAGAGGCTCTGGGGGGGATGCAAATGGACTAAGCGCTGTGTGTGTGTGTGTGTGTGTGTGTGTGTGTGCGCGCGCGCGCGCGCGTGCCCGCGTGTGTTGGGGGAGGCACAGATAGTAATCACTGTGTGACTGAGGGGAGGGGCTGTCCTCAGACTGCCCTCCTGGGCAATCACATGCCAGCAGCTTCATCCACTACCAGCTGGCATGCAGCCTTTGGACCACCAAGAAGCCTATCTGCACGGCCCCCAGCTTGGTCACTGAAAATTCTCAGTCACAGTCTCCGTTCTTGTGCTGGCACAAGGCCAAGGGAGTTAGCCCAGGGAATCTAGTCTTTCCCTCAACCACCCCACTCTTCAGTGTAGAGGGGTAGAGAGTTCCTTTGGAGGCATGAAATTCCCCAAACACCACTTCCCTTTCATATTCTCTATTCTTTCTGCAAACCCTCCTATGCAGAATACCATCTTGGGAAAGAGAAACTTCTCCTCATTTATCTCATCAACCCCTGGCTCCACATTATTTTCTTTGGCTACACCTGTGGACACACACGCACACACACGCGCACACACACACACACACACACATCTTCCCATCCAATGTCACAACCGTATCAGAAAAAAAAATTCCCTAACGCTGTAAATTCAATGCTTCCCATCTTTCCTGCTACTCTTCTTTCTGTCCCCTCCTGTTAAAAAACTCCTTTTCTTTTTCTTCTCCTTTCTAGAGTTTGGACTGTGTATATTATTGGTAAAAACCCTGGAAAAGAGGTAGAAGGGAGAGGCCCTGAACTCAACTGACTCTTTCTTCAGCCTAAGGTGGAAGATTATAAATCAACTGCACCAACATTAGGTAAAGTCCCTCTGATTCCAGTGCTTCTACTCAGTGTTTAGTTGCTACACAAGCACTTCCAGTGCACTGGTTAGAAAATGGAGAGAGATTCAGAAAGTTATCTACCCGCCTCTAAGCAAGCAGCAAAATCCAAAGGGGTAGTGATTTGGGCATGAGAACATGCAGTTAGTGGATAAGTAGAAGGCAAGTCCTTTCCCAAACTACCTTTTGGAGCAGCACCTAGGGAAGACAGATTTGAAAGGGTACCAGGCCAGTTTCCAGGATGCTCTGGGACCCATGCGTAAAGAGGGAAGAGAAGACAGGGGCTGCAGAAGGGCCAGAAGGTGGGGCTTCTACAAAGCCCTTTCTTATTGCTCTGGGTTCTACCCACTGCCAGGCCTGGGGAATCTAGAGACACTGGTGGTTGGGAGTGGGGAGTGGAGGATGGGAAAGAGGACCTTCTGCTGTGGTTGGTAGGTACTTATTCTTTGGGTCCTTTGTCTTGAGTACTCAACCCTCTTTTGACTGTAGGTCTGAGTTGGTTTAAAATAAATTTTCTATCCTATTATCTGATATCCTTCAGTATAGAAAATTTTTTATTATTATATGCTTTCAATACATAAATAATCCATTCAGGCTGGGGATTTAGCTCAGCAGTTTGGTGGCCTGCCTTGCAAGCGCAAGGACCCGAGTTCAATCCCCGGTACCAAAAAAAAAAAAAAGAATCCATTCCTTGTGAGTATAAATACATATTGCATCTTCTAGAGATGCTGAGAAAGACACGGAAAGCACGAATAGTGAAACATGAGAAGGAAAAGGAGAGGAAGATATCAAAAAGGAGGTGAGAAATAGAAGAGGAACAGGAAACAGGCTGGGAGAGATCTAAAAGGGAGGACAGTAGTTCCACCATTTGTGCAGCCTCCAAACACAGATGACAGGGATAGAAAGCGGCCTTCCCCATGGACTGTGCTGGCTGCCTCTGCTCAGGGAACCCTGAGCAAATACATCCTGATCCCCACATAAAGGGCCAATTAACTTCGCTGTCTCTGGAAACAAATCCGATAACAGGGTGACAAGCCCCTAGACGCTGAGGGGCCCTGTGTTTGCTGAGAGGCTGGCTGGGCCAGGAGCAAATCGGGGGATTAGCATGGGGCAGGATCTGCATAGAGGGGAGCGTTTCAAGCCTTCCCTACTCCAAAGCAGGGCCTGGTGCCAGGAGGCCAGATTTCTGTCCTGGTTGAGCATCTAATGTGATGGAACCCACATGATCATGGTCAGCAGGGGACTAAGTAAAGGATCCTGGAGTCGTGAATCTGAAGTGTCAGAGCAGGTTCAATTTCTCCTTAACAGGTGAGGAAACTGAGGTCAACATGGAGGGCTAGAAGGATGACATCTTGTAATTGGCAAATATAGGAGAGGAGCTCACTCCTGGGTTGCTCATTGCTGAAGGGGCATAATCCTAGTGGTGAAACACTGTATACCCCCTACCATCTCTTCCACCTGAATGCCACCTGGCCCTTAAACAAGACTATGGAGTGAAGGCCAGAGGTACAATCCTACGTCTTCATATTCTACCTCTTAAGATATTAATATTAATATATATTGGAAAGAGCACGTCCCTAGCTCCTTTTCCCTTCCACCCCAACCTGTCAGCCTCAGGGGCTGCTCAGATGTAAACCTGTGGGACACCAGGATCCTAGTTTAGCCCTGGCCGATGGGTGAGGTGCTGAAAGAACAGTTCCCGGGATGCTGACTCCTGCGGGGCCACCCAGTGTGGCCCCCTAACTGCTTTGGGCTTCCCGCTTTGCCAAATGTGGTCCACAGCTGAGGTGAGGAGGCAGGAGGCACCAACCGAAGTGTGTGGACTGGGGGAGAAATCTTGGGACGAGACCCTCACCCCTTAATAACATCTAAGGCTCACTCTGCACTCTGTCTCAAATTCTCTGCTCTTTGACTACTCTGGGATTTATGACTGCATAGCTCACACTGCTCTGTCCAGGACCTATTCCCCCGCTGCCTCTGGGGTAGGGTCGGAAACAGCCACCCCTACAAAGACTGTTTCACCTCAGAGCCTGACAACAAAAACTATGCTACCACTTAGCAGAGCCCCACCCTTGGTGGAAATGTCCGGATCCTCCTTCCCCCACACACCCACTAGACACCGCCAGTCTAAAGTGTACATGTATGTGGGAGTCGGGGACTGGAAGAGACTCAGGTAGAAAGAACCCAGAAAAGTTGAAGTAGGATGGAGCTAGGGGAGGGGTTCATGCACCTCCACTCCAAGAATGGCCACTATCAGGATTGGACCGATTTACACAGATTTTGTATCCATCCAGTCTCTAAAAGAACTTGCCTTTATAGAAATAGCATTGCTCTTTGTCCTAGACTCCTTCAGTGTACTAAAAAATGTAAATGAATTTAATAAAACATGTAGGACCAAGGAAATGCGAAGTAAGACCTAAACACTAGTGGTTTGGGTCTCTCTGGATCTCCTTCCAGTTCTCTCCGTATTCTGCTGAGCCTGAAAGAGCTCTGGGGTTGGGAAGGCTGAAGTAGAACCTGGGTCTAGATGTGTACGACTGCCCTATTAGGAGCCAAGGCTTGGACCTGATGCGGAGTTCTCTTCCCACTCCCAGCTCCCGGCACAAACCACCCCGACCTGCTGCTCCCTGGTCACTTAAGTATCTGGACTTGGAAGGGAGCGAAGGCAACAACGTCTTTGCTAAAAGAGCTCCTGGTTGCACTTTGCCTCAGTTTCCCTGAGGGTCAGGAAAGGAGGGGAGAAAACTGGTGTTCTAAAGTAGCTCAGAAGGACAGATTCTGACAGCCTGCCTCCTCATCTTGGGTGCTTTGAGAAAGGAGGGAAACTCTCGTCGCATCCAGAACAGGACGTTGGGCGAGGGGTGCGGGGCGGGGACTCCAACGCACGCGCTCGCTCGGCAACTCGGTTTCCTGCCCTGCTAGTGGCCGTCGGGGTAGGGGTGGGAGATGGAGGGAGGCGGATTAAGCCCTTAATTACGCAGCGGTCGGCGGCAAGGCACCTGCTTTCCGTCCGCCCCGCTCCCAGGGGACCTCGGCGCTGGGGGTGGAGAGAAGGACCGGCGCCGGCGG